GGCCTCTGGGTCAGAGCGTCCATCATAAACCTTGAACCTTGGTACCACAAATTTCTTTGGAACCTCCATCTCCATGATATGCATTGTGAAGGGTGACTGGATACCTTCGTCGTCAGTGTCATCCTTCGGGGGTGGCCTTATCCCTCCTCGTAGGATCCAACCGTACCTTGAGGTCTTCCCTCTACTTGGGGCACATATCTCCACCTTCTCGTGTTGGTCAACATGCCCCCTAGTTCCAATGTGTTGGACAGAGAGGGTTGACCCCTCCTCGAACTCCTTCATACCCCCTTTCCCGGACAGTCCTCGACAGAGGTCATTCCAAGCCAATGGTCTAGTCCTTTTGGCTAGAACCTCCAGGAGCTGTCCCTTGGACCTCGGTTGCTTTGGAGCCTTGAAACTCCCTACTCTGCTCTTAGGCAATTTCTCAAGTCCCTAGGTCCCACCTCCCTGACAGAGGGCTCCCGCGACTGTCGCAAGTCTAGAGATCCTCTACCAGAGAGTGCAAATTCATCGAGCAGATTTAGGATGTTCACATTGTCCTCTTATAACTGTCGTAGTTGATCCCCGAACTGATCTTCAATTACATCAGCAAGTTGACCGGCCAAGGGAGTCAATTTTCCAGCCCCGATATTCAAACTAGTTTGGTGGGTATTCTCTCTAGAATGAACGGAAAGTTCTTGTTGAAACTTTCAACGCGACCCTTTGTTCTCAAAATGGAGGGAGCCGGTAAATCTATGTTCCTTTGTTGAGGATCCTTTCCCTTTTGACGAGTATTCACCATAGTCACTGTTCTTGGGAAAGTTTGGACATTTTTCGCAGACGACGCCAAACTGTGTCGGGTGTCTTTCGCACAATAAATAAAATAAAAACAGTTCTCTCCCTTGGTGAACTCGTGTTTACCTCGAAATTCAACGGTCAGGTGACAAAAGAGGGTCAAAGGTGGCCTAAGGAGTGGTGATGAGTTTGCCTTCAGGTTGTCCGATCGATGCTGGAGGGCTTGAGTATTTTTCGGCGTGTCTTGGCACTCAAAAGAAGGGTTAGAAAGGCGTCGGAGTGTGTCTGGCGTATCCCCTCCGACGGTCAAGTCAATTCTTTGATAGAGAGGAAGAAAACACTATTTGGTATTCTTGAGTGAATTAATTTGCAAACCTTTGCTTTACATTTATGAGAGCTATTTATACCTCCATGAAGGTAATCGTTGTAGACAGGTGGGTTCCTTAGAGAGGAAGCCCCTCATTGGTCCTTTTGGAAGATAACCTATGGAGCACAGTCCTAAGACAGAGTGCCTTTCTTGTCACATGAAAAGAAATCTCTGCATTTAATGCTCGGATCCCCGAGCATTTAATGCACTCATCCCGGAGTTTGCTGAGCAATAAATGTGTGACATCCTTTTAAGGGATCATTTAATATCCTTCGTTGTGGCTGCACATGCACTGGGGCATTTGCGTCATTTGCCATCTAGGAGGTCACATCGTCTGGACTTCATAACTCGTGAACTCTTTCTATTGGTCATCAGGTTGTCTATCTTGCCATTCTGACTACTTGGGGAAGATGATGATTAAAAGTCGCCCCCATCTCTAATATGGTGACGTCATTCTTAACTTTTCTAAAAACTTCATTATTTGCCATAACCCAAGTCCCAAGGTGATCGCCAACACCTTAGCAGAGTGGAGGTCTAGACGCCGAGGACACTCATCGGATGAAGGTCTCCGCGGGGGGAGCGAGGACAGGTATCAAGTGATGAAGACTTTGAGGTACCTTTAGAGCCGAGGACACGTGTCACTCGCAGGAAGCTTCGAGGAGCCTTTAGCGCCGAGGTGATATGTCATGTGGAGAGTGCTCCGCAGACAGTATGTCGAGGACTCCAAGGTGCCTTTAGCGCAGAGGTGATATGTCATGTGGATAGTGCTCCGAGGACTCCGCAGACAACATGTCGAGGACTTCGCGGACAACATGTTATGGACTTCAAAGTGTCTTTAGTGTAGAGGACACATGTCACTCTCATGAAGCTTCGAGGTGCCTCTAGCGCCGAGGTAACATGTCATGTGGATAGTCCTCTGAGGACTCCGTGGACATTTGGAGAACACTCCGCGAACAAGATGCTGAGGACTCCGCGGATAAGATGTCAAGGACACGTGTCGTCTAAAGAACATTCTGCGGTCAATATGTCAAGGACACGTGTCTCATCCCCCTTGAGCACAAAAAATGTCCTGTCACACCCCACCCCGGATCATAAAGGGTGGGCGATGGACCGGCCACTAAGGCCTTAACCAACCAACCTTATACATAACAAATGCAAAAATACAGTGCAAAACAAATAGTAAAGCGATTCATTCTACTGACCTAATGAATACCAGATGAATAAACTAAATATCGTCAACATCATTACTAAATCCGTGTAAAACAATAATTAAAATGTAAGGTTCACTACTCTAAACATCAGAAATATTGTTCTCGAAATAATTAAACATTTGTCTCAAAACTATAAAAAACTTTTATTCCTGAAGACCTACATTAAAATAAATTTTCAAGTCCTCTAATCCTTTGTCTATCTGTAGACTTACTCCTCACCCTGCACTTCACCTGAAAAATGTTAAATGCTTGGATGAGCACAAAGTCCCATTAATGAGGTGTGAAAATAAATCTCACATTATATATACAAAAATAAACTTTGTTACAACAAATTGTATCCAAATCCCTCCCACATAATCATGTAAACAAAATGATCTCATGATCACAAATAACTTTATAAATGAAAAGACATTTATAACTCAAACATCCACTCATTTTCATAAATAACTTTATAAATGAAAAGAAATTTATAACCCAAAACACTCACACACATATTCAGTCTCAAATACATTTGTCAAATCATGTTTGTTACCACTAGCCTAGTAACTGGCCACATCTCTTGTCACCACTAGCCTGATGACTGGCCCCGTCTCGTGTCATCACTAGCCTAATGACTGGCCCCTATATGCACATCCATATACCGACCATGCCGGTATACAATCTCGTTACCATTTAGACCTGATAACTTAGTCCCCATCACATTAACATAATTTTTACACACACCAAAATTGTAGTTTTAGTCCCAACGTATACAAAATTTTTCTTTCATCACTAAAACACATTTAAGCAATAATATAAAATCATCATTCAAAATTTTCAAAATTCACAAGTATAACAGTTCACCATTGTAAAACATTTAATTGCAACCCCAAACTTCAACACGTATATCATCTATATGAAAAATTCGCACGCACGCATCCACACATTTAATATAGAAAATCTTCCCAAAAAAATTAGTAAATTACTCAACTTGATTTTCAAAATTCAATTCAAAGCACTCATTCTCAATCTCAATGCAATCACCACTTAATCCAAAATAAAAAATAACAATCAATCCCTATTCCTAATTTCGCCGTTTCGCGATTCTATATTTTATTTTTATACTTCCTACCTATTTATATATACTTAATATATATTTTACATATAAATATCCTTTCTAATATGAGGTAAAAGGGTATGTAAGTATTCTGGTCTGTTTAGAAAAAAGTTTCTAAACTTTTGGGGTAAATCGTAATTTTTAAAATTTTTAGGTCAAAGTGTAATTTTCTTGAAAGACGAATTTTCTATTTTTGTGGCCGCCATAAATTTTCTAAAAATTCTATTTTTCTAACTTACCAAGTAAAACATGGGTTAAAATTAAATTTAGAAAAATATAGGAATCAAAGTAAAACTCTTTGAAACTAAACGGGAGTTTTCTAACTGATTAAGTGATAAACTTGAAGGAATATAGGTGCAACTTATCCAACTAGTTTTAGACTGCAAATAAACTGTTGTTAACTTCAAGTGCACATTGATATAAATTTATATTTTTGAGAGTATAAATTGAGAATTTTTTTTCTTTGAAGATGCAAATAAAAATTCAGGAGATCTTTTGGGACGTAATTTGAGATGCATGTTGACACAATTTATTAAACACCAATTAATAAACTAAGTAGATATTAATAAAAGAATTTTTGACACAAATGAGCTAAATACCCAACACGGACAGTCTCCCCCGAACACATGCCTACAAATAACCCAACCCAATCGGACATGCTTACCCGACCCTCCTCTTCTTCTTCCTTTGTGCTTGTGGTTTCACAACCCAAACGACGCCAACTCCAAACCCAGCCACCACCACAACCACAACTAGGTTGCTACCCACAAGAAGGGTTGTGGTAAGTCCAGCAACAGAACCAATGCCTATTAACACAGATACATATTTCAGATCTATTCCAAATTTTTTTAAAGGTACTATGCATACAATATAAACAAGAAGGCTTCCCATTAGGCATAATAGGAAGTTCCACTGAAATACCATGTTTACAACAACAACAACAAAAGATTAAAAAAAATGATCTAAACCAATAATATATAGACTGCAATGTCCATATACAAATTCATCTACCCACAACGTACCTGTGATCTTGTAAATTCTTCAGCTGAATTAGCAATTGCATCAAATCCAACATATGCAAAAAATACCACAGTTGCTCTGACTATGGTGGATGTGTGAGAAAGAAAACCATTTGGGCCAAAAGGTAAGAAAACTGACACATCAACCTTTAAAAAGCTCGGATTGTGGTGGATGTGAGAGAGAGGGACTCAGAGGATTAGGGTCAAGATGGTGGGCGGATTTTATGGTTAGTATTTGGGTGGTGCTGCCGGAACAAGAAAGAAAGAAGATGAGGAAAAGGTGCACGATGAGAGTGGCCAGCCACTGCCACTCCAATGGACCCAAAGGTCTCTCTTTATTCTATTCAAACTGTATTCAACCAGTGATTGGAGTAGGAAATTGGGCATATAATCTTTAAACCGTGAAGTAATGCCCAAAAGGGTAACTTCATTTTGAACATGCTTTACTGGCCACTTTTTTTATTTCTTCAAACTGCTAATAGTCCTTCTATTTGGAAGACATTTTTTTCATATTAACCAGGGTGCATCAAATTGAGAGAGAGAGAGAGAGAAAACTGAAGATCTAGAGTGACTGGGTGACTGCCAAATGAATAATCATCCTTCATACATGTCCAAAAAGGTTTTCCCCCGTCACTCTAAAATGACATCTTAATTGACAAGTTTGATAAATCTACCCATTTATCATCCGAAATAACTAAGGCTAAGTTTATAATTATCAATGTTGTGTCGATTATACGTTGAAGAAGCAATCATACTTAGAATTATGCAGCCTAATGATACTGGGGTTGTAAAACCACTCTATTATCATTTACAATGTAACCTAATGCTACATAGTTAATTTAATGGGAAGACCAAAAAATGAAAATCATTCTCATGATTTGCAAATTATCGGCCCACCATGGTTGTGGCGGTGAGATTGTTGATAGAACCCTGTTTTTGACTCTGATGAGAAGGCTGTATCTCTGAATAAACATGTCGTTCGGTAAATGCAGGTTGTTTTGGGGAAGGAAGATCTGCAATTTCACTACCAAGCATCAAAAGCACAGTCGACACATTTGGCCTCTCTTTTGCAGATTCTTGGACGCATAATAGTCCTACATGTATATATCTCGATATTTCCATTCTGAAGCGCAGATCAGACATCATTGGATCTGCTAGAGCACCAATGTTACCTTCATTCCAAAATTTCCATGCCTGAGCACATTAAGATGAGAATCTAGTGTTGGATTTGGAACATTCAATATTAACCGAAAAGGTAAGGCCTATAAAGATTTGTCTTAGTAAATAAAATGAACTTACAAATCTTAGAAGGCTTAAAGAGTGCTCATCATCATAAAAGCTGGTGTTCCTTCTCCTTGATATAATCTCTAATATCAACACTCCGAAACTGTAGACATCAGACTTTTCTGAAAATATTCCTTCCAATGCATATTCGGGTGCCATATAGCCGCTGCATCAAAAAACAAATTAGCATAAATAATGTATCATGAAGCAGTTTCGACAAAGAGATGTCTGCTTACTATGTTCCAGCGACCCTTCTAGTATTGGCTTGATTTTGGTTGCCTTCAAAAATCCTTGCCATGCCAAAATCTGAAATCTTTGGGTTTAGCCGTGCATCCAACAAAATGTTACTCGGTTTCAAATCTCTATGAATAATTCTTAATCTGGAATCTCTATGAAGGTAAAGCAGGCCACGACCAATCCCTTCAATGATGTTGGCATGTTTACTCCAATCAAGGAGTTCTTGTTTTAGTGAATCTGGAAGTTCCATTTTTGGAAGAAGTGTGAAAAGGTTGTAAGCTAAAGGAAATTGAAGTTCAGAAGCATATTATCTTTTGAATGCAATGAAGCAATAGTAATGCATAAGCAATGACTTAGGAACTACAATTGATTTTCAACTAACCAAAAAGAAATGTATCCAAGCTTCCATTTGGCATGTATTCATATATCAACATCTTTTCTTTTCCTTCTACACAGCAGCCAAGAAGTCGGACAAGATTGCGATGCTGGAGTTTAGAAATCACCACAACTTCATTCATAAACTCCTCTAGACCTTGTCCAGAAAATCTTGAAAGTCTTTTCACGGCTATTTCTTGCCCATCTGGCATTTTTCCCTGAAGATAATAGTCATCAATTTTATATGGTTCAACATGGCATAAATATGAGATGAACTTGCATTACCTTGTATACTGGTCCAAAACCACCCTGCCCCAGCTTATTAGTAGAATGAAAGTTATCTGTTGCATTTGCCAAATCCTCCAAACTATATAATGGCAATTCTTCAAGATTAGTTTGGTGGGTATTCTCTCGAAGCACGTTTTCTGTAGAATACTCCGGATACAGTTCCGCCCTTCTAAATAGTAATTGCTTACTTTTCTGCTTCCTTCCTGATTCTGAAAGAAATTAGAAATGATTTTTATTTGCAATAAAGATTTCTATATGCTTCTAAGATAATTCTTATAAACATACTACCTTTGTGTTTGGCCGTCCACCTCCAAAAACAATATGCGCAGATTGCAATGGTGACTGACCCTATGCTTATTGTAATTGCGAGAACTGTTTTAACATTCTTCTCTTTGTCTGTCAAATAGAACAAACTCTCAAGAGATTTCAGTATATAATGAGCAAAAGAATTAAGGTTGCATTTGCAAACAACTTGAAACAGAAACAATATGCAAGGACTTTCAAGTTGACTCTCAAATGCAGTGGACATATAAGAATTCTGAACCAGCAAATAAGACAAAAGGAAAAGAAGGTAAGTAGAAGCATAGGTGAAATTCACTGGTGACGAAACATATTACCAAGCTCTGAATTTGCCACTCGAACGTAAAGATCCGCCCCACCATCTCGGAATTTTTGGATGTCAATTAGACTTCCACTCCATTGCATACACCCAATTCCAGAGTAACTTGAATAAGCTGTACATGAACAGTTATTCAAGCACAGGCTTCCACAATTGTCTTCTAGACCAGGTACCCACACCTCAAAATCTGGTACTTTTACTCTTTCAAGCTTCAAAAATCCATCCGCTTTTCCCTTTTCATTGACTGTATTGTTTCTCTCACATTGCAATGGTGTCTTTCTTTTGCATTCACTAGACCAATTTCCTTGACTCCATTCATCCATATGCTTTGGCTCAAATCCCCTTAAACAGGTACAAATTGGTGACTCCACTGAATTACAGCTTCCAAATGGTCCACACTTGCCATAAACATCACACACATTTGTTGGCGCCCACCACAACACGTACCAGTCTACTTTCCCAACAAACCGAGCCTTCTTCTGGAGAAATCCTTCAGAATTCAACTGGAAGTATAATACAATGGAATCATTGGCATAGCTGAAAGTTTGATCAACAGTTCCTTTTTTGTCATCGACAAGAGTAAATTCACCGTCATATGATTTATGCATTGTTGGAATTCCTATAAAAACCTGACCATTCCAAGGACCACTACGCCAGTATGGATGACTACCATTCCATACAAAAAACTACGGGATGTTTAGAGGATCAACTCCGGAAGAGAAAGTTCCAATGGATGGATCCGAGGGACTTTTCCATGATGTCAACAGAGTCCTCTCACATGTTTTTGCATCAGTACCAAGTCGCATCTTCTGTAAGTATGAGTCTGAAGGATGTTGAAAACTCTCCCATATGATCCTTCCACTAGAGTTTTCTCGTAAGACAAGGTTCCCGGTATCTAGAAGCTGGGCACTTGAATTGGCCACAGGATTCGAAACATTTGATGACCAAATGACCCCCTTCTGCCCATTCAAGATTACCAGATTACCACCCTCGGATATCGTCACAATCCCAGATGAATCATTCAAAGGCTTGTCTCTATTGGCAACCCATACAGCAGTCGTCACTGGGATGTTGTCCAAGATACCAACATAACGATTTGTAGTATTAACAGGACTAAAGAATCCCAGATTGAAGGTCTTTCCAAGGGAGACTATAATTTCAGGGTCTTTGATGGATTGTGTAGATGTAATTGTGTCTCTGGAAATGCAAGCCTCTAACCAAAAGCATAGAAGTATGAGAACAAGGCCATGAAAAAGTGAAAACTTCGGATTACCGGAACGTGCCATATGTGATTTGAGTGCTTGTTGGTGAGGAGGGAAGGCTATATGTGAGTTCTATAGACTTGCGTGAACAATGTTTAATTTTGCTCACTTCTTCATGCTTTTCAAAGCTCTGGAAGATATTTTCATTCTTTTATGAAAATCTGGTTCACTTGAAAATGTATCTCCAAACTGTCATCTTGGAGTGTAGAGTATCCCAAAAGTCATCCTTGAATCTAGGTAGAGGCACTCTAGGCCATTAAGTTGGCAGCCTTGGGCCCCGCGAATTTAAGGGCCGCAAAAAATTGGTGCCAAGTTACCTAAGGCCTTTGTTTACTAGGGCCTATAAGTAGAAACAAACCTCCAATTGAAACACTAGTTAGGTAATAGGATTGTATTCTTTTCAAAATAAATGATAGCATATTATTGACGGTACCATTACAATTACTTTCACAGAAACAAGTTTTTCAAAAGTTAATACATTCTTATCCAGAAAGATTGAATAGATTCGTCTTATTTTCAGTTAAGAAAAACATATTGACAATACTTGAATATAAAAACGAAATTAGTATTTTCGAACAACAAAGAAAAAGAATTTTTTTTAGGTAATTATGTTTTAATAGTAACACGATATTTTGTATACTAGTTATTGCACATGTGCGCTGCACATTTATCATTTTGAGTATAATATATTTTGTTAAAATCAAGGACCACTTTCACGAAATCCACTTGTTTAGTAAATGTTGATAATTTATCAATGAAGGACCACATCTATAACAAAAAATACCAATGTAACAGTGAAAAGATTAGTTGGAGAAAATTTATCATTCTTTATTTCTTGTCATTTTCATGTCTTCGGCATGTTTCAAACATATACCTCTAGTGATAACAATAACATGGATTTCCGAGATCTAGGCGTTCTGATGTAGGTTTTATACATTGAGATTTACCAAGCATATCTGCCAAAAAACAAATTGACAAAAAAAGCCTCTTAGTAGACAATGAATGACCATGTAAATCTGATTTGTAGTTATCTTCAACACTTTTAGTTCTAGAGTAAACAAGAAATCCAACAATAGCAATTGGTTAGACATAATGAAAAAAACAAGCAATGTTCATATCTTCCAACTATTAGTAATTTGGAAAAACGATCCATAAGGAAGAGGAAAAGAAAAAGAAATATAAAATATATAAACAAAGTTCAATTAATTTTCATTTATCCAAATCGAAAGAAAAATAAGTTTTCTCATGTCTTGATAAATAAAGAAGTCTAGATGGCAAGAAATGTATGGAAGCTTATATGCATATGAGGACCATACAAACATGACAATAACACCCAACTACAAATTGCCATGAGAAAAAATTAATTAAATTTCTTGAGAATGGAGAATGCCATGAGAAAGTATAATAGAAACTTTGATGCGTCCGCTACACACAAAAGTTGGGTATGACCGAAGTTAGTGAATCACCCTCCTATCGGCTAAAATTAATTTGCTAAGTTATGTGCAAGAAGTAATGAAAAAACAATAATCTTAAAAAAAATACCTTCAAAGCTATAGACAATTTCCAGGAGTGTCCATATCTAATATGGCAGAATAGTAGTGAAAAGGGGGCTCAAGAGAAAGGTTTTAGTATTTACATGATTCCAATATTTCTTCATGAAATCTACTTTTTTAGTAAATGTTGATAATTTATCATCGAAGAACCTCATCTATAAAAAAAAATACCAATATAACATTGAATAGATTAGTTGGAGAAATTACATCATTCTTTATTTCTCGTCATTTTCATGTCCGCTACATGTTTCAAACATATACTTCTATTGACAACAATAACATGGATTTACGAGATCAAGGCGTTCTGATGTAGGTTTTTATATATTGAGATTTACCAAGTATATTTGCCCAAAAAAAAATTGACAAAAAAGCCTCTTAGATGACAAGGAATGACTATGTAAATCTGATATGTAGTTATCATCAACACTTTTAGTTCTGGAGTAAACAAGAAATCCAACAATAGTAATTGGTTAGACATAACGAAAAAAACAAGCAATGTTCGTATCTTCTAACTATTAGTAATATGGAAAAAAGATCAATGAGGAAGAGGAAAAGAAAAAGGAATATAAACTATATAAACAAAGTTCAGTTAATTTTCATTTATCCAAATCGACAGAAAAATAATTTTTCTCATGTTTGATAAATACAGAAGTCTAGATGGCAAGAAATGTATGGAAGCCTATATGCACATCAAGACTATACAAACATGACAATAACACCCAATTACTAATTGTCATGAGAAAAAATTAATTAAATTACTTGAGAATGGAGAATGCCATGAGAAAGTATAATAGAAACTTTGCAACGTCCGCTACACACAAAGGCGGGGTTTGACCGAAGTTAGTGAATCACCCCATGTCGGCTAAAATTAATTTGCTAAGCTAAGTGAAAGAAGTAATGTAGAAATAGTAATCTTAAAAAAAAAAATCTGCATAGCTATAGACAATTTCTAGGAGTGTCTATGTCTAATATGACAGAATAGTAGTGAAAAGAGGGCTCACAAAAAAGATTTTAGCACTTACATGACTCCAATAGTTCTTCACGAAATCTACTTGTTTAGTAAATGTTGATAACTTATCAATGAAGGACCACTTCTATAACAAAAAATACCAATGTAACATTGAGTAGATTAGTTGGAGAAAATACATCATTCTTTATTTCTTGTCATTTTCAATTCCTCAACATGTATCAAGCATATACCTCTAGTGATAACAATAACATAGATTTTCGAGATCAAGGCGTTCCGATGTAGGTTTTATATATTGAGATTTACCAAGTATATCTGCCCCGAAAAAAATTGACAAAAATAGCCTCATAGTAGACAATGAATGACCATGTAAATCTGATATAGTTATCAACAACACTTTTAGTTCTGGAGTAAACAAGAAATCCAACAATAGCAATTGGTTAGACCTAACGAAAAAAACAAGCAATGTTCATATCTTCTAGCTATTAGTAATATGAAAAAAAGATGCATGAGGAAAAGGAAAAGAAAAAGAAATATAAAATATATCAACAAAGTTCAGTTAGTTTTCATTTATCCAAATCGAAAGAAAAATAATGTTTCTCATGTCTTGATAAATACAGAAGTCTAGATGACAAGAAATGTATGGAAGCCAATATGCATTTGAGGACTATACAAACATGACAATAACACCCAATTACTAATTGCCAAGAGAAAAAATTAATTAAATTTCTTGAGAAAGGAGAATGCCATGAGAAAGTATGATAGAAACTTTGCATCGTCCACTACACACAAAGGCTAGGATTGACCGAAGTTAGTGAATCACCCTCATGTTGGCTAAAATTAATTTGCTAAGCTATGTGAAAGAAGTGATGTAAAATCAGTAATCTTGAAAAAAAATAACCTTCAAGGAGTGTCTATGTCTAATATGGCAGAATAGTAGCAAAAAGGGGGCACAGAAGAAAGATTTTAGTACTTACATTGCTCCAACAGTTTAGAAACAAAATCTACTAGTTTAGTAAATGTTGATAATTTATCAATGAAGGACCACATCTATAACAAAAAATACCAATATAGAATAGAATAGATTAGTTGGAGAAAATGCATCATTCTTTATTTCTTCTCATTTTCATGTCCTCTACATGTTCCAAATATATACCTCTATTGATAACAATAACATTGATTTTCGAGATCAAGGCGTTCTGATGTAGGTTTTATATATTGAGATTTACCAAGTATATCTGCCCCAAAAAAAGTTGACAAAAATAGCCTCATAGTAGACAATGAATGACCATGTAAATCTGATATGTAGTTATCAACAATACTTTTAGTTCTGGAGTAAACAAGAAATCCAACAATAGCAATTGCCTAGACATAACGAAAAAAACACGCAATGTTCCTATATTCTAACTATTAGTTATATGGAAAAAAGATCCATGAGGAAGAGCAAAAGAAAAAGCAATATAAAATATATAAACAAAGTTCAGTTAGTTTTCATTTATCCAAATCGAAAGAAAAATAATTTTTCTCATGTCTTGATAAATACAGAAGTCTAGATGGCAAGAAATGTATAGAAGCCTATATGCACATGAGGACTATACAAACATGACAATAACACCCAACTAATAATTGTCATGAGAAAAAATTAATTAAATTACTTGAGAATGGAGAATGCCATGAGAAAGTATAATAGAAAACTTTGCAGCGTCCGCTACACACAAATGCTGGGTTTGACCGAAGTTAGTGAATCACCCTCATGTCGTCTAAAATTCATTTGCTAAGCTATGAGAAAGAAGTAAAGTAAAAACAGTAATCATAAAAAAAATAATCACCAAAGTTGTAGGCAATTTCTAGGAGTGTCTATGTTTAATGTGGCAGAATAATAGTGAAAAGGGGGCACAGAAGAAAGATTTTAGTACTTACATGACTTCAACAGTTCTTCACGAAATCTATTTGTTTAGTAATTGTTGATAACTTATCAATGAAGGACCCCATCTATAACAAAAAATACCAATACAACATTGAATACATTAGTTGCAGAAAAAACTTCATTCTTTATTTCTTTTCATTTTCAAGTGCTCAAGATGTTTCAAACAGATACCTCTAGTGATAACAATAACATGGATTTACAACATCTAAGTGTTCGGATGTAGGTTTTGAGATTTACCAAGTATATTTGCGGAAAAAAAAAATTGGCAAGAAAAGCCTTTTTAGTAGACAATAAATGACCATGTAAATCTAATATGTAGTTGTCAGAGTAAACAAGAAATCCAACAATGACAATTGGTTAGACAGAATGAAAAAAACAAGCAAAGTTCATATCTTGTAACTATTAGTAATATGGAAAAATGATCCATGAGGAAGAGGATAAAAAAAATAAATAAAATAAATAAACAAAGTTCAGTTAATTTTCATTTATCCAAATCAATAGAAAAATAATTTTTCTCAATTCTTGATAAATCCAGAAGTCTAGATGGCAAGAAATGTATGGAAGCCTATATACACAG